TTAACACATTCCCTCCCCCCATTTAGTTTACTGTAAGGAGCTTGAAATAGAATGCTTAAATGAAAAATATGCATACTGGCACAATCAAGGAAGTAAATTCTATATACATGTTAGGTAGAAATGCCATTTTCTCACTACATCAGTGTCTTTCAGACTCTAATAGTCTGTAAGAATTGGTTTGCATTTTATAATCATGAAAGAATATGAAAATTTAATATACCTACTATGTGTCACTTAGTAGTGACAAAGTAGTATGCCGCCAATTCTCTTTGCAATTAGAGCACGTAACCTTTCATGCTAGATCCTAACATAAATCATACGGAATGGAATCCAAACACCACTGTGGTGAATGAATCAAGAAGCACAAGCTATTCCCTTCTCTTCAACGCCTTATGACCAAGTGAACCACAAAACACAAGGCAATTGTAACCCATACTTGAAACTTCTGAAATGAGTACTTGGGCTACTAGGCTACTAACTAGGCCCTCCACAAAGGTATAGCTTAAGATTTTGTTAACTTGAATAGCTATAAGCAAGTATGGGCATTTCGGAGATACCACTGAGAGGTCACAGGCCAAATGTGGTTCCAACAATTCCAGGGGAATACAGTAATTGTTCTGGTCTGCTTGATCTGTGAATTCCTCAGTAATGGATGTGTGGAGAACCCTTCCACCACCATTGCTCATCTGCAGCACAGTGTTTAAGTTGCCTGGGGGCAGGCTGGACATTCTTTACCTGATTTGCCTACAGTCACACAGTTGCTTGCAGTAGAAGCCAGCTTCTCCATCCACTATGCCTTGCTCCCATAGTTTAAGACTTTGAGGACTGGACAGCCCTCAAAGGAAGAAGATACATATTTTTAAAAAAAGTCTATCTTGTTTTACATGATAACCAGAGATGGCCTAGAAGGCAGCGCATTTGAAAACCAAGTCCTAGGAAAGGAGAATAATCTGTATAGGCAAGTCTAGAGCAATCGCATGTACGAAAAACGGAAAACAAATCTCCAGTTTTACATCAGCTTTCTTTTTCTGAACATAACAGAAATATTCTCCAGAGCATTTTTTTAATATATTAAATATTTAACTTCAATAAAATAATGGGCACATTACTGCCACAATCTTGGTTGTATATATACACCATTCACTCAGATATCTGACAGCAGGTTAAGGGCACAAAAACAAGGTGTCTTTCTGTACAGCATGTTGAAGAGCACCAATTCTTCACCATATACTCAACTTATCCTGAGAACACCCACCCCCAAGAGTCCTGGCCCGTACCTGCCTCCAAGGTGCCAGGAGTTCTCTATGATTCTCCCAAGCTGAGTTTTAGCTTCCAAAGTCCTCTAGTGTGATCTGATAGACACCATATCCTAACACCACTGTCTACACTTACTAAAACAAACCTATCCTTTACTACAATTTTAAACCAGAACTTGTTTTTTCAATGAAACAACTCTTAATTTCATACTTGTCATACAACTTTTTTCTTTTTTATTTAAAATATTATAACCAATTGACATACTAGATAACATTGTTTTACATTCCAGTGGTACGTGTTTAATGACCTATGGTATGGATGATTAAAACCACAATAATCATCTCAGCATTCCCCACAAGGTGCCACATTTGTTTTTGTCTATGGGAGAGGGACCGTAGGACTAGAACACAGAGAGCAATGACAGAATGGGGTTATGTGGGTAGAAAAGCGAATGTGATTTAAAATTCTGAAATTGTGAGATTTTAGACCCACCCCCTGGTAACAGGATAATCTGCTTTGAGAAAATAGAGGTCACATTCCAGGTACACAGCTCATTTGCTCAACTTTACTGTTAGGCTAAAAGATTAAAAGCTTCCCAAAAATATACCAAATATTGGGCCTACAAAAGTAATTTATCTGTTCGTAAAATTTACTAAGATTTATTCCTTTTGTAAAATGTAAAGAATGGACTGATACTACTAGGTCTTTACTTACAAAAACAGACAATAATCAAGTCACCAATCACATCTAACACAACTTTCCAGGAAATACAAAGAAAGAACTTACATGTGAATGCTTCTGACTTATGCAAATTATACATTTTACATACTTACTGGTATCATCTCAACATTGGCCATAAAGGAATTAGAAAAACACAGAGTTCACATTCAGCAAAGGTCTCATAGTAAGGGCAACAGTTTACTCAGGAAAGCATAGAAAATTAGTGTGAGGTAGTTCAATAAAAACCTAGTTTAATTTGTAAGCCATTGTGAAAGTGGAAACATTGTGCAAAGCTAATCCACAGGTCTACTTATCACAAGTTTCAGTAAATGGAGAGAAAATTATACCAGAAATGATTAGTAAAGTGTTACTCTTACTAGCCTCTCCTTAAGAGCACTTAACTAAGAGCAATTAAGTGAACCAGAACAGTTTTAAGTAATTTTTTTTTCTCATGAGGTTTCTAGTCTTACCCCATACTACACATCTCTGCTTCAATGCCCTTCAATTCTTCAACTTGCTGTTATTAAGTGAAAAAACAAAGACACAAACAAACAGAAAAACAGGCTTATTCTGAAAATCTCTAGGAAAAAAGAAAGCTTCTACAGATCAACATAAAACACAGCATATACTAAAACAGAAAAGAGTTCCTATAGGCAGCACCCAAAGAGTTACTCAATGACAAAAGAAAGACGGTATTTTAACCCTTCCACTATTTGTAGAAGCTTAACAGGGGTTTGCGGGGCTTCATGCATCTACTATCTAATGTGTCGCTAAAGAACAATACACATGAACAAACTACAGTAGCATTCTTGAAAATGGACTATACATGATTTAGTTCAAAATGGAATACAAGTGTGTGTGTCTAGGCAACACTGAGTAGTTGTCTTCCTATGTATAGCAGAAACTGGCCTATAAGGTGAACCAAGTTATTTGGTAACCCAGGAAATTGCTTCATTTATCTGATGATTTCCACTACAAAAGTCATGTCTTTTCTAGCTTCATCTTTTTAGACAATATTGCAGGATTAGGAGAATCAGACAGAAAAGAAAATAAATAGATTTAAGTAAGGCTTCTATCATTACAATCAAATTTCATGGTATTTTGAGAGACCTGATATAGTAGTATTTCTCCTCAGCTTTCAGTTTCTTCTACAAAGCCTGGATTGGATGTACTGTGCCTTTCCTAACTTGGTATAGCAAATGTCAAAAATAGCCAGAATGATTGAGATTATGTGGTAATATAAAATAAGATTTCTAAAATGAATGAAAGATGATTGGCATGGATACGTGATCTAAATTAACAGATACAATACAATTAACAACAATACAATAATTTTCAAATTAATGCTTAATACAAATTAGAGTGTTAAGAGAACAGCACGTGGAAGAGGAACACTGGAAGAATACAGTTCTCTCAGCTTACAAATACAACTAAATCTTGACTAACATCAATAATTCATAGGCATATTTTAAGCTCCTCCTGGAAAAAACATCAAAATTATAAAATATGCAAGCTTGCTTTACATAAATAGCAGTGGATGGCAATCTTGTTTGTGACTTCCATTTAAAAAAAAGTATATATACTTAGTTAAAATACCTTAAAGGCCAAAACAATTTCTTTAAAAAAAAAATTAAAAAGAAACCTGTGCATAGACACCTTTAGTATTATAAATGTAAATCTACTTAAAGTAATGCTTAGAAGTTGTGCCTTGTGAATTCAGGGCATACACAATACTTCACCAACCTAATCCTTATGATCAGCACACAGGTTGATGAATATTTTAGATCACTTTAGGGAGAGTTCTTATTTTGTGAACTCAGCTGACAAATGCTGGTTTTCAAGTGGTGGCTGGCACTTTTAACAAGTTATTGATAGCAAGAACATCTGGTTTTCCTTGCCAGAATTTGGATCAACGGGAAACAAAATAAAAACACAATAGAACAAAACAAAAATTTGCTGGTAGGAGGTAAGGATTTACTTTGTTAACTCTTCTACTCTGATGGCCCATCATCAATAAAACAAAACACTACGAAATTCTACAGGCAGACAAATCTAGAAAGTACATAATTTAAAGTGCAACAGTGACCTAACCTATTGAGTGAAAAAATGAAGACACTGTTAAACTAACTTGTCAAAGTCTAAAGAACACAATCACATGAAAATCTCAAAGATTGTGATTTTCAGTCTTGTTTTTTCGATTCAAGAGGTGTCCCATAATTCTCAAAATTAAATTAATTTCAACTAATTTTAATTAAAACAACCAAAACAGCCATGCTGCACCACTGAGAGAGTGCCAAGAAATAAAATGACAGTTGGTATTGCAATTCCAAGAATGGCAGGAATCACTGCTTTTAATACATCAACAATAATTCTATCTTTTAAAATACACTAAAAAGCTAAATTAAAGCTATATTTAAATACTGAGTATTAACAATGATCTAAAAGATCTTACTCAAAAGTTTATTTCCCCAAAATAAATAAATGACCAAACATCTAGTGAACTTCAAGAAACTGAAAATTAAGCCCCTTCCCTAATGCTGGCTGCCTAGGAATCTGCTTTAAAAAAAAAAAGGATAAAAAACCTAAACAAACAAGAACAAAAACTTAGATGTTTGTCTTCCTATCTCAATTCACTACACAAATCCCTTTTCCTTCAGAAAGTGATCGAAAGAGCCAAAGTTTATTACTGAAAAGGTGAAAAGGTGCATTTTTTAAAAAATGAGATTTCAATGATTGCTTTACCTAAGAAAAAGTTCAGTTCTAGATAAATCATTTTGCAAATATAAAATGTAAACAATTAACATATATTTGTCAGGAGCAGCACCATTTTACACTACTTAGCAACTGTATTAGCTGTTGTATTGAAAATTAAGTATCCAAAACTAAAGACTCAGGCTAAAGAAGACACCACCATTTATTCCTCCTCTGCTCATCTGAAGGAGCAGGCCTTAGAAAAAGATAGTCTATATATGGCTGTGCAGTACTATCTGAAGTTGAACAGTATTGCTCATAGGATACATTACCTACAGATTTCTAAGTAGGTTCTGGGACATCCCGACAGTTAGCAGTTAATACGAACATGCTACATCTACTTGAAGAGAAACAACTGGACAGGAAACAAGTTTCCCCTCTTCCCTCCCCTATCAAGAATAGATGTTCAGCTGACTCTGATACCAAGTAACAGGAAATCGGAAATGGTCAGGAGTCAAGGCTACATGAAAATGAAATATATTTAGAGGGACTCCAAGACATTTCTGGGATCTGTGTCCTGGAAAGATAGATTAGCTTTTGTGTGTACAAAAACAGGCTAATAACTAGTAGAAGTAAACCATATGTTTATTTGCATTGAAATGTATTATTCATGAAGTATCCTCTTGACTTGATGTGATCATAAGCTTTTAGCATGCCATAATTTTGCAGAATACACCATATCTTTTTGTTTTTCTTCTGGGGGCAAGCTGAATAAATGGCATCTTAGAAAGACATGCTTTGCATTATTCTGCCATTCAGATGAAGTGACTTTGACAAGGAATTACGCAGGGTTTCCTACTAATTGTTTTGATTAAATTAAGATGGGCAAATAGCAAGAATTGGAGGTTTAACTCAATCATTTACAGTAGTTATACCTGAATATAACTGGCTACAGAGATGTATCTTACCTCTTTCCCAGGGAATAAACTAAGGACAAGCACATAACCCTGAAGGATATTGTCATGAACAAAACATCTGGAATAAATTCTAATAAAAAAAAAACCCCACTATAAATCTTAAATAATTCATGATATAGGCAAGTCACCACATAATAGTTGCTTTGATAAAACAAAGCTTACAAATTCAGTTAAAAATGAATCAGCAGCATAAGGTAAAGCAAATAGGCAAAAATTTTAAACCATGACAAAATTATTAGGTTTACATTATACAGATAATTACAGCAAAAAACAAACAAAAAAACCACCACAATACATTTTGTGGCGATTTCAAAAACAACTTACAGTTTTAAATTACAGCACTTGATATTTAAAAAAAAAAAGAATCCTACATTTTTGGGGAACAAAACAAAACACTCAAAAATAAGACCACTGAACTGTTTTCAAAGTAGTTCTATCAATACCTAAATGAATCCCCTTCCCTCCTGCAGCCCCCCCCCACCCTCCCACCCCTGACCAAATAGTCATCTGCAGCAGCCCAGAGGTCCAGCTGATGTTTCTAGACTGCTGTCTGTATCAGAGGCCAATGTTGGATCTGTTGACATTGAAGACACATCATTGACAGACGACGATGAAGATGGATGTTGAGAGCCACTAATCACTGCTGCACCTGTGCTATGAGAAACAAAACAGCAAATCAGTTGCAGACAGAGTTGCGTATAGAGCTGCTTGCACTGCACTGTCCCCAAGCAATGGCTACTAGTTTCTCCTAAGCTAATTAAGACCCGATACTGAACAGCATGACAATTTTTCATAGTGATAAAATAATTCCATGGCCAAGTCACATTTAAAAATGTCGACAGGCAAACAAGCACTTGAGAGTGATGGGAATCTTTCAGTTTAAATGGAAAATTATACTTGATGCTTCAGGTACATTTTTGTTTAGTTGTTTATCAGTCGTGTCTGACTCTTCATGGTGAAGATACTGGAGTGGTTTGCCATTTCTTCTTCCAGCTCAGCTCATTTTACAGATGAGGAATTTAGGCAAACAGGCCCTGCCCAGGGTCACACAGCTACTAAAGTATCTGAGGTCACATCTGAACTCAGTATTCTTACTGACACCAGGCCGTGCCCTCTATCCATGGCGTCACCCAGCTGTCTACACAATCGTGTGCATTTACATTCATCAAAAGACAATATGTGCAAATCTGGATTTATAAAACACAGAAAATGGGGATCATTATTGCCTTTTTAAAAAGAGTCCTTAATAAGGGGTTTCATTAGGACATTTAAAATAGTATTCTATTTACATATAATTTTTTAGGAACAAATCTACTCACAAAATGAGGCACACAGTACATTGTAGCACCATGCTTCTACTAACTAAACAAAACCTATCTTGGAACCGTATGAGGGCTTTCTGTAAAGGTTTCCATTAAGGATACTTCAAAATGGAAGCAAGAGGCACTCCAAGCTGAACGCAAAGGGAATTTAGATTACTGAAGTCTTTAATAAAAAGAATAAAATCTTCAAGTGCATCAGCTATTGTAGAATATAGTAAAATAGACTGGTCTGGCTACACCAAAAGTTTCACCATAATTACATATCCTAACGATACAGCAAAAGCTTCCCACCACAAAAGACTACCTGATAAATCAGGTATTCTTCATGTAGTTATACTAAAGATAATAAAAAGGTTGTACAATATCTAATCTCCATTGTCTCTGATTGCAGGCCTTTCTTTCAATTCTGTTTTATCTTAATTTGTCTTCTTTCTGGAAAGTATACAACTTTAAAAAATGCTTAAGGCTGCTAAAATATTTAGTATTCAATATTTAAGATGAAAAAAATAAATATTTGTTCTGCCAATGATCATTCTGCAGTATAAAAAAAACTTTACTTAGAATGATTAAAAACGATGCAATTCCTAAAGAACACTCCTTCCCTCCACTTCAGCATTTAATATGCTAGGTCAGAAAGATGTTCTTGGCATAGGGAATTCTGCTAAAACTTTGTACATGAAACTACCCATAAGGTAGGTGGTTTGTGCTTTGGGCATCAAGGCAAACTGATAATGCTCTAGAGAATGGTCCTCCTTGCACCTCACTCCTCCCCCCACCTCCCCTTACTCATAGGTTACATAAAACAGGTGTCATTTCTACTACAACGATTAGATGACAAACTGTTCGTCTCATACTGGCCTCATTTCTACCAATATGTATACCTAGGCCAGCAAAAATGTGGGCATGCAACTCTATTTGCTGCTAGGCAAATGAAAACATAGCTAGAGGGGTAAATATGCTGAAAAAATATAACTTATCTAATCTAAAAAGAAAAGCTTTGAATTATCTATCACATTTGACTCATCTTCTGGAGAAGCAATCTGTTCTTGCTGCTCTGTTTTCTTACATTTCACTCATTCTGAACTGTTCTCTCCAAACTTACCAATAGTCCAACGTTCTCTCCTTAGTCATCTTCTCGCAATGTTTGATCCTGGGAACCACTCCCTCCCTTCCTGGGGGCTCTCTCCTCCTTCAGCTTTCAGGAGAGTACTCTTTTTGGGTTCTCCTACTTGTCAGTCTCCCATTTCTCCCCTCTGCTTCACCACCTGAAAGTCTCCCAAAGCCCAGTCTGTCTTGGGGCCTCTTCTCTCTTTCTACGACTTCTCTTGGTGACCTGATCAGCTTTCAGGGCTCTGAATATCATCTCTAAGCACATCATACACTCATACATTTTAATCTAGTCTTTACCTCTTTCCCAAGTCTCCAGTCCCAGTTAGTCAACTTACCTGATAGACATCTCTACTTGGATAACCCACAGGCATCTCACACTGAACACAGCCAAAAATAAACTAATAATTTTACAGTGTGGTACAGTGGACAGAATCTGAAGACCTGTGTTTAAATCCTAGTTCTGTCATTTACCACCTGAATAATTATGATCCAAATATTTAAACCTCTCTGGGGCTTCAGTTTCCTCATTTATAAAATGAGTTGATAGGATTAAAGGGTCTGTAATGTTTCTTCTTCTAATCTATGATTTTCCTTAAATCTATCGTTCCTCCACACTTCCTTACTTTTCTGGCATGCACTTTAGTCACCAAGGTTCACAACCTTTGAGTATTCTCAACTTTTTCCTCTCCCTCACCTTGATATGCAATCAGTTAACATGACATGCTAATTTCAATGCTAAACCATCTATCACATTCCCCCCTTCATTTCACTTATTTTAGAGCTGAGGGAACTCCAGAACTTATCTATACAACCTGGTTTTACAGATGAGACAAGGTGAAGGGCAGAGAAGCTACCTGACTTGCTCAGGACCACTCTAGGGAGTAGGAAGTAGAGGGATAATTTTAACCAACATTGTTTTGACTCCAAAGTGAGGCAACATGGTACAGTGGGAAAAAAAATCACTAGCTTTGGAGTCAAAACAATGGAGGCTGAAGGGCTTTATCACAACAGCCTAACTGATTTCCTTGTTCCTAGTCTCTTCTTTCCAATGCATTCTCCACTCAGATGTCAAAATAATCTTCTTAAGCCACACGTATGACTAGATTAGTTAGCTAGTTAAAAAGTTTTCAGGGGCTCCTTAATGTTGCAATAAAATGAAAGTTCCTCATCTACTGTTCATAACACAATGACAAAATCTTCCTAATGTACTGCTCTAGTCACATCGGGGTCGACAGCATAAAGTATAAACCCCCAGGCCTGGAGTAAAGGACATCTTTTCCAGACTTAGCTTGCAGCACTCCCTTCACGTTTTCTGTTTCAGTCCTAAGGGCTTCCCCTCCGCTCCCATTCCTGACCAGCCCACTTCCTTCTTCCTGACCATGCTTGTATGCTCCCCAAGGAATAGACTTGTGCTTCCCCCTCCTCACACCTCTCTCTTCAAGGCTGAACTCAAGAGAGCCTCCACTGACCCCTCGAGCTAAGTAGGAAGGTGCTCTTCCTTTGTGCAGGATTATTGGTGAACAGGCCTTTCTCCCATCAGATCATATCCTCACGTGTGTTCTCGCATCCTCTAAGGTTGAGCATGATGCCTTACACATAGTAGGTGCCTAGAGAATTTTTGGTGGGTTGAATTAAACAGCTGAAGATAGGGGAAGGGCGTGGGGGACAGTGTGAGTAAAAGTGCAGAGCTAGAAAAGTAGGTAGTTCAATTTGACTGGAGTATCATGTACATGGAAGGAGAGAGTATAACATAATGCTAGAAGCATCCTATATCTAGACTGCAGAGGTTCTGGGATGTCAGGCTAAGGAATAGAAATTCTACTTGGTAAGCAGCTTAGTAACTATTAAAGAATTGTGAGTAGAAAAGTACTATGAAAAGATTTATACTTAAGATTAACTTGGTAGAGGTGTGAAGGATGATTTTGGAGAAAAAGCTGAGACAGGAAGCCCTTACAGGAGTTTATTACAATAGTCCAGGCCTGGGGTAATGAGGATCTGTGACAAGGTGATTGCACAAGGAATAAATGGGGTTCTGGGTTGTCAAGGTGACCACAGTTTAACTAGTCCAACCCTTATCCAAGCAGGAATCTCCTCTACAACATCCCCAACAAATGGTCAATTACCCTCTACTAGAAGAGGAGTGATGTAGAAGTTACTACATGGCCCAAAATGGCCCATTCTATGTTTGGCTAGCTCTTATTGTTGGCATATTTTTCTTCATATTAAGAATAAATCTTTCTCTTAGCAATGTTTACTCATTACATCTACTTCTGCTCTTTTTGAAAAAGACAGACAAGCAGCAGTAAGTTCTGCCCTCTCAAACAATGTCATTTCTTCAGCTCAGAAACTCAGTTAGGAGCCTACATGTACTGAGGAAGGGTTCCAGTGCTAAAAGCTAGCCTGGGAGGGCAATCATCTATAGGAAGACTATTCCCAATAGACAAATGTTGAAGAGGAGGGGTGGTTTCCAGGAAAACAGGCACACTGTTGGAGAGCTATGAATTGGTTCAATTATTCTGAAAAGCAATTTAGTACTATGCCCCTCAATCAATCAATAAACATTTATTAAGTGTCTACTATGTGCCAGGTTTTGTTCTAAGTGCTGGGGATACAAAAAGAATCAAAAGACAGTCCTTGACCTACAGGAGTTCACCAGAACCTAATCTGAGAGACAATGTACAAACATACACATACAAACAAGGTATACGCAGGACAAAGGAAAAAGTAACCAAAGGAGGGATGGCACTAGGATTAAGAGGGGTTGGGAAAGATTTCTTTTAAACATGAGATTTTAATGGGACTTAAAGGAAGCCAGCAAAGTCAGTAGGAAGAGTTGAAGATGAGAGCATCCCAGGTATAGAGGACAGCCAGAGAAAATGCCTGGAGCTGCAAGATGGTATGTCTTGTTCATGGAATAGCCAGTGTCACTGGATCAAAGAGTACATGGTGGTGAGTAAGGTATAAAAAGACCAGAAGGCAGGGGGGTGGGGGGAATGGGGAGGGGGCTATGAATGCCAAACAGGGAATTTTGTCTTTGATCCCAAACACAATAGGGAATCACTGCTGATTATTAACTGGGGGTGGGGTGAGATTGTGAGAAATGGTTGGATCTGTGCTTTGGGAAAATTACACTGGTGGGCTGAATGGACAATGTATTGGGGCAGGGAGAGATGTGACACAGGCACACCCACACTAGCAAGTTATTGCAATCATTTAGGCATGAGGTGATAAGGGCCTGCAGTGTCAGAGGTGAAAAGGGGATGTATTCAAGAAATGTTGCAAAGGTAAAATCAGCAGGCCTTGGAAACAGAGTGGATGTAAGAGATAAAGAGGTGGTGAGAAGTTCAGGATTGACATCTAACTTGTGAGCTCGAGGAAGTTCAAGGATGGTGCTGCCCTTTACAGAGAAGGTAGAGGTCAGGCGGAAGGTTTAGGGGAAAAGACAATGAATTCCATTTTGGACATATTGAATTTGAGATGTCTACTGGCCATCAAGTTTGAGATATCTCAAAGGCAGTTGGTGATATGAGAGACTGGAGTTCAGCAGAGAAATATGATCTACATGTACAAAATATTTATAACAGCTCTCTTTGTAGTAACCCAAAATTGTAAACTAAGGAGCTATCCTCCCATTGTGGAATGGCCAAACAAATTACAGTATATAAATGTGATAAAAAATGGTGAAATGGACAGTTTTGGGATAAAGTGAGAAGATCTCTATGATATGACAGAGAGCTAAGTGAGCAGAATGAGAAGAACAATTGACACAATGACAACAAAAAATGAGAAAAATAACTGAGCTGTACCCCAAAGAGATCATACAAATGCGAAAAGGACCCACACGTACAAAAATATTTTTAGAAACTCTATATGTGGTGGCAAAGAATTGGAAATTGAGAGGATGCTTATCAATTGGGGAATGGCTTAACAAGTTGTGATTGTATGAATGTAATGGAATACTATTGTGCTATAAGACATGATGAGCAGGAGGGCTTCAGAAAAACCTGGAAAGACTTGTATGGACTGATGCTGAATGAGGTAAGCAGAACCAGGAGAACATTGTACACAGTAACAGCCACATTGTACGATGACTAATACTGATAAACTTAATCCTTCTCAGCAATACAAGGATCTAAGACATCTCCAAAGGTCTCATGATGGAAAATGCTATCTATATCCAAAGAAAGAACTATGGAGTTTGAATGCAGATCGAAGCATACTATTTGCTATTGCTATTTTTTTTTCCTTCTGTTGTGTTTTGTTTCCTCTTTCTGGTGGTTCCCTCCTATTGGTTCTAATTCTTCCTTACAACATCACTAATGTGAAAATATGTTTAATAGGAATGTTTATGTATAGCTTGTATCAGATTGTGTGCCATCTTGGGGAGGGAGGTAGGGAGGGAGGGGAAGAAAAATTTTAAACTCAAAAGCTTATGGAAGTGATTGTTGATAAAGCAAAATAAATTAATAAAAACCAAAACAAAACTTTGAAAGACTTTAGAACTATGATCAATGCAATGACAAATCATGATACAAGATGAAACATGACACTCACCTCCTTGCCAGAGAAATGATGAACTTAAAATATAGAGACATCCATTTTTTGTCATGGAAAATGTGAAATTTATTTTGTTGGACTATATGTATTTATGGAAGAAGGTTTTATTTTTTGTTTGATTTTGTTCAATGGGGAGAAGTAGGGGGGATTACAAATGCATGCAAAAATAAATAAATTTTTCCATAAGTCCATTCTCTATACCTTTCAGACGGAGATAGATACATAGTTCTAATAAAGTACTGAGATAAATCTAGGTTTGCTCTAAGTTACTCCATGACCTTGTCTGGTACATAGGAAACCCTTAATACATGCATGGCTCCTTGCCTTGGGGGAACCTAATGTCACTTATGTCATCTGCCCTCTCAGGGCTGATGTGACGGAGTAGTAAAAACCTCAAAGCATCATATAAATATGAGTTGTTATCATCAACAGGAGAAAGAGAGGCAGCTGGCACAGGCTGAAAAACCTTCCTGTAAAAGACGAGATTTTAGTTGGGACTTAATGAAAGCCAGGGAACTCAGTAGGCAGAGTTGAAAAGGGAAAGCAAGCTAGGTAGAGAGGGGAACCAGAAATGGAGTGTCTTGCTCATGGAAAGTCTTGTTCAATGCATTTTTAAAGTTTCAGTCCATTAAAAAAAAAAAGACTTAACCAAAATCACAGAAATATAGGGCTATTGCATTTCACAAAATAACTTTAATGTAAATCAATGTCAGCTGGAAAAGCTGTGATTTCATGGTTATGTCACTTAATGAAGCACCAACTTATTAGATGTTTACCGTAAAGCAGTATTTTTAAAAAGCTAGTTGAACAGTGCTGAGCACTGATATGAATAGATGGATTACATATTGCTGCCCTGACCACCTCTAGTGCAGGACGCTAAACATTCCTTACGTATATGAAACTGTTTAGTACAAATAATGTAAGAATTACACAGTTTTAGACTCACTGAAAAGTAGAAATAGAATAAATAAGCTGCTTTGAACTGAGTTTATATTGTAACCAACCTAAAGGAGCCGGCTGACCCCGTATAACTCCGTTCTTAGTTCTCTCCTCCAACTCCATAACCTCCTTGTATATTAATTCTGAAAAACAAAAAGCAATTAGTAAACTACAAAAGTCAATTTCATACCATAGGTTCATCAATGGGAATTTTTATTATAGATAACAATCAAGCACCAGTAAGCAACGTTTCAAACAGATGTTCAATAAGTGCCAATAATGAGCTAATAAAAGATTTTTAGAATTTTCCAGGATTTACAGCAAAGGAACGAGAGGCCTCGGCTGAACTAGGTCTCTTTAAATTAGGTCTTCTAAAGCTGGTTTAGGGCAGTGCTAAGGCACTGAGACAACAGCACAAAGGACAAAAACCAGGGCACAGAATTCAAGGGATGGTAGCTATCATATCTGATGGACTAAGAGCTAAGTTTCCATCAGCACGAGTCCTTCATTACCTCAGTGAGCCATTTAACTTTCAAGACTCACAATGACGGTAAAGATCAATATACCGTTTGGGTGGCTTATGGTGCCACAATTTTGGATGTCAAAGTTATAATAAGATATAGTTTAAAAAATTTGTCAAGGGATAGAGAGGAAGTAAAAAAAGATACAACAGAAACTTTCAATTATATAACATTGAAAAGCTTTTGTAAAAAAAACAAAAATAAATACAGTTAAAATGAAAAAAGAAACTGTCGAGGGAGGAAAAACCTTCTATCAAATATATCTAATAAAAGCCCAATATTCAAGACACATAGGGAAATGAGAGAAATGTGTAAGATGAAGAGTCATTCTCCCATAGACAAATAGGCAAAGGATAAAGTTTTCAAAAGATATGAAAATTATAATCATATGCAAAATATTGCATATTACAGATCACTTATAAAAGAAATGCAAAATAAAACAACTATGAAATTTCATCTCATACTCAGCAAATATGCAAAGATGATAAAAGTTGGAAATAAGCAAAGGTGGAGGTATTATGGAAAGTCAGGAAGTTGATGCAACTGTGCATTGGTCTATTTTGGAAATTAATTTGGAATTACATGAGAAAAGCTACTCAACTGTTAATACTTTTGACCCATAAATCCTACTCCTGCGTGTGTGTGTGTGTGTGTGTGTGTGTGTGTGTGTATAAATAAAAATAAAATAAATAAGGTTCCATATATTCCAAAATATTCATAACAAAAAAAAAAACCTGGAAGTAACATTAAGCACCCATCAATTACAAACCAGAGGAATGATTAGTAATATGTAACATAATGGAATATCATTGTGTATAAGAAGCAACAAATATAAAGAATTCAGAGAAAAAAGGGAAGACTTGTATGAAGTGATCCAAACTAACAGAGAACTAGGAGAAAAGGGGGCCACTATGATGTAAAGAAATACACTAAAATATCAGAATTTAAATCACTCATGTCTATGAGACTCCAGAGACGCTCCAGTGACTTGCCTAAAATTATACAACTAAAAGCTAATATTGAAGTCAAGAGAGGATTTGGCCATAGGCAATGGGGTAAGATGGAGGTAAGCCAAACTAAAAATCATACACTATTCATTTAAACCAGAAAAGTTTGGGACTGTTTTTAGTAAATAGATGAGCTAGTGTTTCCATAACTGTTAAAACAGGTAAGACATAAATACCAGTCATGAAAGAAACAGCATGGGTATTTACTAGTCTATATAGATATATCTTGCCCAAATGAACAGATTTTGAAAGCAAAATGGCCTTTGAGTTTAGACACTCCATTCTCTTTAAATTTTCATTTTACCCATACCTTTCCACTCTTCTATTGTGTGCTCTCTTTCATCTAACTGTTTGTCAGGTATCTTTGGTGGAGGCTGTAAGAGATGAGGCAGCAGTAAGTAACTCAGGTCATTAAAATAGGGAACTAGGTGAAGAAGAACTCATAACTTCCACTAACACAAGTTATCAAGTTATCTCGAAATCATAACTAGTCAATATTCAAACAACCGTAGGTAAAAATGAAAAGTTTTGAACCAATTATTGGTTCCTTTCTCATGGTACACAGACTAAGGATTCCCTATGGGGGAAGTCAACAGTTTACCACTTCTACGACCACTAGAATTCTAGATGTCTAGCTTTACTTTACTTAAACCAACTTTAATTTTCACTGTATTTTATCAGGACCATTTAAAAAACAAAAACCTGAAATCAAGATGTAGTATGTATGCCTTACAGCTGTTCTATTCAGTTACTCTGATCCCTCTAAGCTCAGAGCTAGGGGAGGTACTTGCAAATTCCCTTTTTGGGGGTGGAGGTAGAACAGTAAAGGAGGCTTAAAAAATAACATTAGTTCAATAAGTGATAGTATATCCTTGTACCTCTCTTCTACAGCTTACTCATATTATTAAACAAACCAAAAAAAACTTTCAGCAAGAGAAATCCCCTCCCCCCCCACTTTCTGGAACAACAATTTACATCACATACTAATTAGATACAAAATATTTACACCTAAGTTATATCTGTTAACCCCTAGTGAATATGCTATTCAACTACTTTTTGTTCCCAAAAGACAAAAACAAAATGATTCTAAACTCATAGGAGGAGAGTGTATTATATGCCTATGTCTATATGTATATATAAAAATGAAGAAATGGACTTACCGCTTCTGCTTCTGAAGGATCATACCAGACATTAATATATGGGTGCTGGAGAGCTTCATCCACAGAGATTCTTTTAGACGCATCTATAACCAGCATTTTTGACAACAAATCCCTTGCCTGACTAGCTGCAAAAGTAACAGTTTGCTTTAGTGCTACATGCATTTTGTTATGTTATTTCCATGAATAGAAAACATTTACTAAGACCAAGAACTTTCAGAATTTATTATAAAAAACACATGCGCTAATATACTAAAATTTAATTGTGAGTAATTCTGAAGGTCATTCTGAATTTTTGAATACTTAAAAAATGATACCTTTAAGTTTGTTGTGCTCTGAGTCGGCTGGGAAAAGTACATCTGGGAAGAGCTTCTCAAAGCTATAGCCAGCATATTTAGGTCTGTTCTCCACATAAGTCCTTACTGTTGGTTGTAATTTCTTCATGAACTCAGGGCACGGTGTTCCAAGTTGCTCAATAACTTTATTCCACTGATCAATATCTAAGATCAAGCAGCTAAGAAAAATACTTGATAGATCTATATTGGCCATAACACAGCAAAATGATAAAAAGGATACTCCCTAAAATTCACAAGAAAGAATGTGAAGAATATAAAGAAAGCTTAACCACTACACTGTTTAGGGTAGTGATAATAAGAGAAGAAAAATCAATGAATTAACTTAATACTGGCTGAGGTTTTTATATTGATTTTACTATAAAAACTGAGACAGAACATTTTCTTACTAAGTCTAAATCAAAGAAGAGTGATAATAACAATTCACTAAAGGCTAGTAGGTATAGGCTCTAAGTGCAAAAGGCTCAAAACCATAGGAGAATGCTAAATTTCCCTTCTTCTAGTTATCTTAGAGGACTGACCATAAACGCTAGTGAGTAATAAATCTCCTCTTTCGAATCCAGAAACTACATCTGCTGGTCCAGAAAAGCCATGGAATCAGTTACTGTAAAAGGACTTTTTTTCTTTATGATTATGTATAATAATAATAATAGCTCCCATCGATCTAGTACTTTGCGAATAATATACACACACATACATATATGTGTATATATGTACATATATGTGTGTCTGTATATGTATGTGTGTATGTACACACACACACACACACACATATAATTTCACTGATTATTAAATACTGAAATCCTTCCAAAGGGAGATTTAATATTTCTATCAACTGGAACTTAGAAACTACTTTTTTTTTGACATCTAACACAGAAGTCCCTAATAAGGCCAATTTCCCACCTTAAAACTTAGTAAAATTAGTTTCTATTCAGGAATTTTGATAAAAGTCTCTGAAAAAAAATTATATGACACATATAAATGTAGGGGGAGACAACTGTTCCTTCTTCCTAACAATATCATTAGCTGGCTGTTCTATCAGCTTGGTGGCAATTTTAAATGGACTTTATATACTAATACTATCTGATCTCCTGACAGAGACAACTCAGTCAGCCTGATTCAAAGGATGTTAAATACAACTATCCCCTCCCTTTTTCATTCCTTAATACTACAAAAGAAATGGGCTCTGCATAGTATTCTACTGAGGCTCTCCAAATGACAAAAGCAACTCTGGACACTGTACTGTACTATCCCAGTTGAGAATGTCCCTTACCACCTAATGTGAGGGAAAAGGACACTTCCAGCTGAGTCTCACAGATGTCCAATAGGGCGGCCATGGTTAGCAGACCTGATTTTACTATACCTCCTTCTAAACAGCTTTAAGAAATTCAGTTTGACAGAGAAATACACAGCTGATTGCTGTTAATATAACAGGTAAAAAGCAGACAGAAGGACAAAACGTGTTCTTAATGAATTCTAATCTAATCAACATAACAAAAAAGCAGCACTGCTCAAATACTTGAAAGGATCAATGAATTAAATTCAATAAGGGACAACAGCAAAAATAGCACACAGACACACATAGCACAAAAGAAAAAAAGAATGTATGACCAGAGGCAATGGACAGTTATAAAATTCATGACATTAAATCTATTTCCTAAACACTTCTAAATCTATTCAAGTGATAGGAAGATTAGAAATTAATGAATGAAAGCCATGCTTATTGGTTTTGGTTAAATAAATAAATCCAAAGCCCATGATAAACTATCAATAGATAATTAATTGCACTTTAGCATTTTTTAAAATGATATAAAACTACCAATATAAGAAAGGTCTATATGTAGTCTATATCAGCTGGTGGCCTTCTGAAACAGTAATTTAGCATTACCTCATTAACTGCATAAGAGACAAGATTATGTTAAACTGACCAAGCTGAAGTTCATTTTGACCTTTCAAAAACTATAATCTAGGCGAAAAGTAAGGATACGATCTGTACCTGGGAACAAAACACCACCTTTGATCATTTCTCCCATGATGCACCCAACTGACCAAATGTCAACTGAAAACAAAATGCAATGACATTAACATAAAGGTAGTGGCTAAAGTAAAAAAACAAAACAAAAAAAACACAACATACTAAAATAAAATCATAACACATAATATGATATATCCAAATTATAAAAAGCAGTGTAAAATGAAAATGAGTGACAATGAATGGTGCTCTGACTCCCAGCAGAGACTATGTCCTACTGCTAGGTGCAGCCTAAAAAAATGATTCAACTTCTCATCAGAACAATTTTTTGAAATATACAGCAACAACAAAGTTTCATGTCTATTTAAAGAAAATTGGACCATAAGCACTTTCATGACAGAGCATTAAAGAGTGAATCACCAATCAAACTGCTGCAGCCGCACAAGGATACAGTCCCTTCCTGGAAAGAGGATTTTGTGGCAAACCATTTCTCCCATAATGCACCCCACAGACCATAAATCCACTATGTTTGTAGCACAAAAGAAGGAAAAGCAAAGCAAAGGTCATTTAAAATTAAAGAAGCATAACATGATTGCATTATACTGCTGAAACTTATCACAGAAAAAAAGGAAATGATTTCAGTTTTAATTAATGGAAAGATTCTAAATAAAAGTATTTTCCAAAGAATTTTGTTTGATTCACAAAGGAAAATGTGTACAGCCTCTTAATTAAGTTTTTAAATTTAAAGTGAGAGCTCTGCACAGCGATAACAGAGTAAAAAGGAATACAGTTAGAGCACATAGAAATCAACTTTTGGAATTTTGGAATATGAAACAGAAGCCAACGAACTATAACATGTAATGGTGTAAAAGGATATAATCAAATTAAAGAAATCTTTCTCATTTTGAAATTCAACTGTGCATTGCACTCTCTTTAAGTCAAATAAACAAAAAAAGCATGAGCAGAAATAATTTAGCATATTAAAATATCCATTAACATTAAAATTAGTTATGTTCCTATAAGTAGACTAAAATTAGCTCAAACTATTTCTTCAATAAAGCAACAGTCTCTTACTGAAAAGAACTAAGGGTCTAACAGTGCTAATGAACATCAGAACAAATTTCATAACACATCAAAAAAATTGTCTTAAAATATATAAGATAGCATTCACCTAAAATTCTTCAAAGACTTTTACAATGGCCTTTTCTTTTCTATTTCACTGATAGATCATAAGTATTCTGTTATAACAGGATTAAACATAGTATATTTTAAGAGTTTTCTTGACCACATTATATAAGAAATTTTACTAATTAATCTATAAAAATGACTACTTTGGGGAAAGAGTAATAGCTAAGTTAAGGATAAAATAAACAACTATCTTTAAAATAGCTCAAAGAATTTTTTTCTTCCAAAAACCAATAACCAAATCTATATCTATATAAGTAAGTTATACTTTGGTTAAAGAAATCAATTTTGGATAGAAGTATTAGTACAGATTCCTAAAACAATGTCACATAATACACAACTCTTAGTGAGTTTCTCTTTAAGAGAGGTAGCACAGTGAAGAGGAAGTAGCACTGGACTGGGAGCCAGGCCATTCAGGTTGGGGTCCTGGCTCAGCCACTAACTTTCTAGCAATGTCAGCCTTCAGAGGTCACTTCAATTCTCTGCTGCTCTGTTTCCTCATGTAAAATGAGGAGCTTGGATTAGCTGATTTTGGCCCTTCTGAATCTCACATTTGGATTTAAATTGTTTCTTAACAATCATTGACCCTATCCAATTTTAAATGAGAATCCAACTGAAGCTTAACAAAACTAATCCACACATTAAAGAAACATAAAATTTGGGGGTTTCCACCTGTTTTCAGTAAAACACACAACACACACAGACATACTCCTGGACCTGGATAGTAAATAAAAAGAGGGCTTGGAAGGTTGAAGCAGGAAATGAGGAGTAAAGGGAGAACAAGCAAATGAATGGGAAAACCCTAAAACACTTGAATATACCAGGCTTAGAATTTGAAAGCCTATGATCTTTTAGAAAGAAAAAGGAGGGAGAGATCATAGGTAGAAATGTCAACTTTATCTATGCTGATGGAGAATTTAAGGATGAATGTTGGTAATTTCTTATGATCACGTTAAAAAATAAAATTTATTTTAAGCTGAATAATTTAGAGAAGAGACTTAAAGGAATAGTTCATCAATTAATCATTAGAGTGCAATTAACCATCTTTGAAAACTTCTGACACTAGTATATAGCCTATTTTATCAATTATTTCATAGTTTTACATAAAAAATTATAAACTTTTTGTTAAATGTTCTGGACATATAATTTTTGTTGGTATGCTTTAATGCCTCATCATTCTTTAAAATAAAAAGCTTTCAGGAAAAATGTAGCCATAGGGCAGAATAGATACTTTATGAAGTAAGCTGCTTTGTAAACTCACAGCTGCATTTTATACTACATTAATTTGAAGCTATAATGTCTCCGCAGTTTTTAAAGGTATAAAATGGGCATGGATTAAAAATAAAATTTTCATTTAACCCCTACCCCCATCAAAACATATTAGAGACAAGAGAAGTGTACTCACCTAAAAACCTAACTCACTATCAATTTCTTAAAATACATCCCTCTCCCACCAAATTCACCAAGTCTTATACTTTAATGGTTTCTTAAGTTCACTAGTGTTATACCTTAGTGCGGAGGAAGGGGGGGGGGAAATTTCCAGGTCTTATATCACGTGATTCTTTTGGATGAAGTTAATTTGTTAATTCTAGTAAGGCACAGAAAATCAAACCCTGGGCACACTTGATCATCTACAAAATATCTGTAAGTCTTTGGACATCACTTCCTGTTATAGATGGGGGTGTGGGGTGGGAAAGGATATATAATCTAGAGAGCACTTCAATACTAAAACATCTAACAATTAAAGATACGATAGAACCCAAGTATCTCTATCTCTGTGCATATATGTATGTGTACATGTATACAGATGTGTATATATGCACATAAACATATAAGCAAATAAAAAGTAGCACAAGACATTCCTTTGAGGATGGACCAACAAAGCTTTTAGAATCACCTTGATTCCTTTTGTAGGTTTAAACACTATAATCATGGCTATGAGGGCCCAGATTTAAGGTTGGGTTTTTTTTCTGTGTTATGTATCCAAAGAAAGAATTTTTAAAACCGTTTTTCATTTGAATTATTAGTTCTGCATTTTTTATTGTCACAAAAAAAACACCTCCCAAAAAACCCCAAAGAACCAACCAATGCTCAGAGGTTGGTGACCTTGTAGGGCAGGCTGATAGAACTGAAATATGCTTTTTATCCTTTAAAATCCTGCCAGTTAATCTTAAGCTTCAATATTATGAAAACAGGGCAATCATCATTATTACTAAGTGATCAATAAAATATGCTTTGCTAAGGATAACTTTTGAAATGCTTATTTCTATGCTATGGTTAACAATACATACTAAAAGCGAAGAAAATTACTTTGGCAGTACTGTTTGTGTGTGTGCATGTTTACATGAACAGGATCCCCAGATTTTCAAACAGTGATGAAAAAATTACTAATAAGTTTCATAAAATCTGTACAACTGCACACAATTAGTTTTGAACACTAAAGAGATTATACAGGTTAAACATTTACATTAGAAATATGATGTTCAAAAGGGAAAATAAATTATAACTACATTTCAAAGAAATACTATGTTTGCTGACCGTTTTCTTTGTAGCCCATCCCTAGGATGACCTCGGGTGCTCTGTAGTAACGAGTCACTACATAAGGTGTCATCATAAAACTAGTTCCTGCAGTTCTGGCCAGTCCAAAGTCAAGAATCTTCAAAGTGCAGTCTGATTTTACTACTATATTACTGGGCTTTAAGTCCTTAAAAAGAAACATCATAAATGACTGCTATGACATGTATAAACATTTTTGCAGTTCACATTTAAGTTACCACCACCAGTTGAGAAAAAAAATTTAAAGGTAGTCAATCCATGTTTTTGTTCATTTATCTCACTACAAATGTATTTCTTCATAAATTTAATGCAAGTGCCTAGTTCCCAAAATATGATTTCTTCATGGAATTTTCATTTGATAAAACTGTTCAACACCTAGAATACTGAAGAAATTAGAAGTGTTTTATACATTATAAATTAGAATTAGGCTGAAAAGTTAGTTCTAATATATGGGATTTGGAGAGGTCATTAAAAGGAATTAAAAGCACATATAAGTATCGTTATGCTTTAAGACAGAGACAATTTAAAAAAAATTTACCCACCTATCACTATTAATAACATTTATTAACTTAAGCATGAGGACGCTATACATGGATTCCATTTTTAATCACTATGTACGTACTATTCCTATTACTCAAAGGCTTCAGGGTGTGTCCATATTAAGTCTTCCTACAAAATCTCTTTATTGAAAATAGTGAGTGGGTCACGCTCTGTGTCAATCTAACCATTCAATGTTACTCTTTCCTTTCCCATCAGCAGGTACACATCTCAAAACTGCTTAATGTTATAACTGTGAAGAGGCAGATCTTTACATCACTGATTTCTCACTTAAAACCTTGAAATTTGTTGATGGCAAAAATTTTAAGCTTGCCTAAAAGTCTCCACAATTAGGACATTTCTGCCCTCCACTTACAAGGAAAAAAAATACATCTGACTATTGTAAAATCATCTCTACAGATCAATTGTAACAAACTCTGTAGTTAATGTTATTAGAAACTTTTTGTGAAAAACTCTTCTAAACTGCTTTAATGTTCAGTGTCTATTACAAGAGGCAGTGAGAGAAAAATGATTCTTGCTGTTAATTTACAACCCATTAGCCCTCAAGGTTCTCATTTCAGTACCGAAGTGGTGCTGCTCTGAGAACTGTTATGTATCAGATGAAGATTTGAGGAACCAAGAGGCAAAAAAGGGGAGGGAAAGATCTGATGGATCTACTTACTCTATTACTTCTATGGATTTACATATTTTGGATTTTAGTTAAAAATTGACAGCGATTATTAAAATAAAAATAAACATAAAAATAAATATTAAAAGAAATTTTATATAAGGGCAGTGTCCTGGTTATTCATTTTAACATTCTTATATATCACAAAGTATGTATGTATGTGCATAATGTATGTATATATTATGCACACATGCATATGTATAGTTTTTAATTCATTCTAATATGCAGTGAAGAGTAGACTTAGTAGATATTTAATCAGGTAACAGTGAAGCTCTATGATGCTAGGCTTACAGGTAATCTAATAATTGAAAAGAGGAAGGTATATAAAGGGATTTATATTTTGAAAGTATAAAGAAACCTTTGAGCTTAATGAGTAAGAAATGTATCAATTTCATTTCAGGTCACAGTGAAAACACTACTATAAACCTATTGCTTTATCTGTGAGGTAAGACTGAGTGTATGCTCAATAATAAATATTACAAGATGGGTAATGCTGAAATGCCTAGAAATGAACAAAGACTGGAAAATCAAAAATCCATATGATGTAATCTGAACAACTGAATAATACCTTACCTGCAAATAAACGGAACAATGTCAAAGGACAGAAACAAAAACAGCATTTTTCATACAGTTAAGAAAAAATGGGTCAATTTCCATACATGTTATGGAAGTTTATACATAAAAAAAGAAAGCATGATAAATTTAATGAATTCAAACAACTTAATTATCCCGCTCTATTGCCCATGACAATGAACCTATAGTACCAGGGCATTGGAAAATATCATTAAATTTAGTCTAACAACTCAAAAGCAGACTTTAAAAAAAAGTATAAATACTGACATAATACTGAGGTAAGATATAAACTATGACCACTTAATGATGAAAGAATCTGAAGAGGAAATAATTTATGTTTTGGAGAGGGAGGCATGGCACCACCTTCCTCAATCTGTGTGATGTCCCATCATTTGCATTTTCTTTTAATGAACTTTGAAAAGGCTCTTTTAAAAAAATGAAAGAAGGTATGCTAAAAAGTGTCTTCTAAATACAGTGACACAGTAAATTTGGAAAACCTAAGGCCTAGTCTGAGCTTTGCTACTAACTAGCTGTATGAACTTACGTAAGACACAAATACTCTATTCCCCAATTCTATCACCTTTAAAATGTGGTTGTTTGGGTGAAGTGTGCAACTACATCATTTAAAACAGAACTTCCTAACAATTACAACTCGATTAAAGTGAAATGTGTTGCCTTTGGAGATAGTGAGGTTTCCTTTACTGGAGGAATACTGAAAACAATGGCTGGATAACCACTTCTCTGGAATACTGTAAGAAGGATTCTAGTTCAGACATGGATGGACAAGACTGTTTTGGAGGTCTACTCCTCTGAAATACGGTCCCTTCTATCCTTAAAATTCTATGTTTTTGACACCAATATGAACTACAGACTGGCGAAGCAAGCAAGCTATGATGTTACATAATTAAGTACTGCATATATATATATATATACATGTATATATATATATATATATATATATATATATATATACACACACACACATATATATATGTGTGTGTGTGTGTGTGTGTGTGTGTGTGTATGTATGTACATACACATAGGTATATATCTACGTGTATACACACATATATACCTATGTATGCATGTATGGCATTGTAATATGCCAGCCCTATACACTTCCAGGAGCTGATCTATCTTGTTTCTTGGTTCAACAACATAATCCAACATTTTTTGTCTCCTCCTACCCCCCAATTTTTGTTTAATTGTGAGGAAAATCACAAAACTGGTACATGTATTTATCAGGGACAGAGGGTCTTTTTTAATGAAAAAATAATAGAACCATAAAATCTGAGGTTTCCTCAAAGAATAACTGCAATTCCTCCAGCAATATCAATCACAAAAGGTTTTACACACACATAAAAATAGAAAACAATCTTATAAACATGTCAGAAGTCAACCTTGGGAAAAAAGTAGGTCTCTTAAGTGAGATTAATTTGTTTTGACATTGTATGAGACACCTGTCAAAATGCTACATATGGATACTAATCTCTTAAACTATGTTGAATGTACTCTCATTATTTATGGGTAAGTACATGGCCACAAATTACTCTTAAGTTATTTTTAAAAAATAGAGATGCACAAATGCAAACTTCAGGTAAAGCAGTTTCTACAGCAGAAATTTAAATGACAGCTGAGTGTTATGGTGGGCAGAGTGCTGAACCTGGGAACTTGGAGTCAGAAGACCTGAGTTGGAATCCTGCCTCAGACATTTAATAGCTGTGTGACCCTGGGCAAGTCACTTAACCTCTCTCTGCCTCAGTTCTTATGCCTCATACATAAAACTTGAATCATAATAGCATCTAGCTTAGCACAAGGTTGTTATAGCAAATGAAATAACATATGTAAAGCATTGTAAAAACCTTAAAACACTATATAAATGTGAGCTGTTATTATTATCGGGTCTCTGCTACAGATCACAAAATGTAAATGAGAGGATATCAAGAGGTCAAAGTCCCTTCATCCAAAAGACACATAACATATATCTCAAGATACGATCTATTACTTATCACTTATGATAATATGGAAAAACTGCAATGCCACAGGCAACCCCCAAATTTACTTATATTTGACTGAGAGGCAGTGTGGCTAAAGGCCTAGTGTCAGAGGCAAATCTTGGCATTTCTGACTTGCTAACACCTTTTATCTTTCCCTTTGGCCACCATTCTAGCTCTGACTCTCATGGCCTCGAGCCTGGATCACTGCAACAGATTTTTAATTGGTCCCCCTACCTCAAGTTACTCCCACTTGAATTCATTCTCCAAGTCAGCTGCCAAAATGATTTTCCTAAAGCACCAGTCTGACTATGTCACCTTACCTGCTCAATAAATTCCAATGGTTCCTTATTACTTCCAATATCAAATTGGCAAAATCCTCACTTAGCTACTTAAAAAGTCATTCTTTAACTTGACACCTCCTTATGATTATAAAGTTGTCATATACTTTGTTTTGCTTCACCCATTCTGCAATCTAAGCTATGCTGGCTTATCTGCGGTTCTTTCAACATGACATTCTATCTCTCATCAGAACGCCTTACACTGTCTCCCTTGCCTGGGATGCTCTGCCCTCTCACCTCCACACCTTTTGGCTTCCCTGGCTTCCTTTAAGACTCACCCCAATCACAGCTTCTATAGAAACCATTTCTAGCTCCCCCAGATGTTGGTGCTTTTCCCTTTCAGATTACCTTCTATCTACTATGTATATGTTTGTCATGTACTAAGTGATTTACATATTGATTCCTTCATTAAAATGTGAATTTGAGAGCACACACTCTTTTTTGCCTTTCTTTCTATCCTCAGCACTTAGCACAGCATCTGGCACACACATAAGTGCTTAATAAATGCTTGTAGACTGATAGAAAATCTGGGTTGACTTCCCACAAGACTACATGGCTCTGGTTAAATCTCTTAACCTTCAGGAACTCTAGATAAATAAGATGATAGGTTGCAGAGAAGGTGTCTCAATGGCAGCTCTCAACCACAGGTCCTAGAGCTATCTTTAACCTTCTTGAAGCAAACATGTCAGACATTCTCAAAGTTCAATATTCTAGAACAATACACTGAAAACTACGAAGATCTAACTTGCTCAACTGATCAACTTCTTTCCACTTCATGAATAATCAAAAACTGACATGAATGACACCAACAGCTTAAGAAGTTCCTTCTTTTATTGAACCCACTAAATGACTTTTTCCTTTAGTACTTATTTAGGTGTGAAGACAGGAAAAATTACTGCTTTGGTCTAAAAAGACTTTACTGATAGATGAAATTAGAGAAATAATATATTCCTGGTTCTCTGAAATCCTTTTCCCTCCAAGTGTCTGCTAGGCAGCATACAGAGTAAAAGAACAAAACTAAAGCCAACGAAGAGCAAAGTTTATAATACTGAAGCTAGAATGGCACAGCTAGAAAGAGATGTTAGGGATTTATTCAATTTTCTAGATGAAGAAACACAAAATATTTTTTCTTCATTTATTTTCAGTAGACAATTGAGTTTCTTAGTTGTACATTTAATGTACATAAAAAGCCTTGTATCTGGCATTTTAGGGGGACAAGGGTACCAATTAGTTAAGATTTTTCTGATCAGGAGTTAAACTTGCCCCACTAACATCCTTGTCTGATTCTTCAACACGTTGTGCAGATTACCTTTGTATGAAAGGCTATACCGACAAATCATGTTTTGACAATTCACAGTATTACATACTTGTAGATCCAGAGCTGGAAGGGACCCTCGAGGAGCTATGTAATACAGCTCCCCTCACTTTACTGAGGGCCAAGTAAGTAGGCCGGAGGTGGGATTTGATCAGAGATCCTCTCACTCCAGAGCCAGCGTTTTTTCCCTGTACCATGTTGCCTTCTGAGCTCTCAAGTACAGGCCCAATAATGACTGCCCTTTACTAGGACTAGTCTAGTGTTCCTTACAAGAAATCTGGCAGATAGACAATAATTATCTTGAATGAAGCAATTTATAGAACCACTCATTAGAAAGTGGAAGGGTTGTGCTCTGTACTGGTGGAAGGATTACCCATGCTAATGAACTCAGAGCTCTCCTTGAAGTATTCAAGTTATGGAATATCATTATTCATACAGCTTAACATATAGGAACTTTTATTATGAAACAGAATGTAACTAGGTTTTTAATGTCTTTGTAATTAATTATTATGCTCTGGCATACCTCTAATCTGTACGGCTTCAGGTTCTTTCAGAAAGATGTTTGTTTATAACGAAATTTAAGAGTTATAGCTGCAAGTGGTTAATTGGTAAATTTAACCATTATATTTAAATGAATGATGCAATATTTTACATATTATAATCTCTTTTGGAGCAAATTAGTAAAATAGTAGAAACTTTCTTTGGAAAGGGGAAGGGAGTCCACAGAGGAATCAGAAACTGACAGGGAGATGGACTATATATGCCTATGATTTCTTGGCGGGGGCGGGGGGGGGATGCAGAGAGAAAAAACTTCTAAGAAAGTAGAGTTAAAATTTGGGGCACAGAGGAAATACTATGAAGGTAAAGAAGAGGTCATCTACAAGAATGATCCTCTCAACTGACATGTCTGTTAGGGGCAGTCACAAAGACCTCAAGCCCCTTTTCCACAAAATTGTCCAGATCACAGAGGTTTCTTCCTTTTCTCTCATAGCACTTAAAGCAAAACCAAAACCATCTACACTTATCATTCGGCAATAAATCAATGTGACATTATCTGTATTATTTTCTTGTGCTATTATTTAACTGCTAAATTGTTAATTACTTTCTCTTGTATTTATGCTGTGTATTTCCACCCAAATTAAGTTCCTTAAGGTCAGGGATCTTATGAGGGCAGAACCTGACTAAGGTCTGTCAATCTTCTCTGCTTTGCTTTTAACACTCTGCCTTATGCACAATAGGTGCTCAATAATTTTTATTTGAAAGGCTTCAGATAACTGCTCACTTGGTGGCACTGTATTCTCATCACAGGCAAAGTATCTACAAGGAAATAAATAACTTGGCTGCTGGGCTTGCAAACCTATGGAAATGAAGGGATTACAAAAATCACAACTTTTTTGGAATAATCAGGCTGAGAAAGACTGAAGACAAAAACATAAACGTGCAGTTAGTTGTGAGCATTTTGCTAGGAGAAGGCCAGAGCCCAGATAAGTCAGCGAAATGAAGAAACCAAGCTCAGAAGCACTGGGAGATCCCGAGGTCACATCAGATATATTTTTATCATGGTTTCAGTTTCTTACATTTCAAAACTAAATTTTACCCTTATTAAAATCAGCAATCAATGAAGTTAATCTCTGCAATATGGTCAAAATACTATAGTTCAGAAACAAAATTTGCCAATTTCATTTGTAAAAACAATAAGTAGTTCATTCAAAAGCAATTAAAAGGGTACATAAATACTATGAGCAAATTATATTTATGAAAAATGAAAATTTACCTGACACTTCCTTAAATCTGATAGTTCACTATGGGCTTTAATGATACGCAATTTTTTTTCCAGTTGTATTTTATTGCTCTAGTCTATACACTGGGATGGAACAACAACAGTTCTACTTTGCCCAAGGTCACACATGAAGGTAATGAGGCCAAAAATGGATTCTGGTCTCCTGTTGAGCTTATAAGGGATTACATATTTCTCTTGTTATAGTTTAGGAAAATGTAAAAGCACAACATTATGGAATTTGCAAATGTGGGCTACCAAGGAACGTCAGCCAATAAAGTGCCAGACCAAGCTTGTCAGATACATTTTTGCCTCAGACAAGTTATTAACAAACAAACAAAACAAAGCAAAAAAAACCAAAAAGCAAAGGTGAGAGGATGGTTAAGCTATTATATAATTTTGGTTATTTGACACAAAGTGAATCAAAACTAGACATTTGGCCTAAAAAACTTATAATCTCACTGAACAAAACCTATTTTAAAAGGTATGTTTTAATTAGAAAAATATTTTCCAAAATTTAATGAGCTGGCATTCAAATGACCTACTATGGAAACATAAAACCATTAAGTACTTAAATTATGTGTACATGGAAAATAATGCACTACTTCAAATCAATTTCTCTATTCTTCTAGTTTAATATATGTTGATAGCATAGATTTTTAAACTATCACTCTGCTTCACAAAATAAATCAATATATTTCCTTCTAGTTCTTTAGAAACTGTAAAGACAGAGACATAAGTAACACAAATGAATATTTCTACTTACTCGATGTATAATTCCTGCAGAATGAAGGTGCTTGATTCCACACAGCATCTGATACAGAAGGTAGGACATTCGTTCATGGTCTAGCTCCATTTGAATCACTTGGCAAAGATTTGCATCCATGAGCTCCATAACTATGTAACTTCAGAGAAGGGAAAAAATAGTAATCAAAAAGTGCACTAAATAAATAGTCTAATAAAGTAAACTTAGGTGATAATCACACTTACACATCCTGAAATTCTTCTAGGGACTTCTGTGGTGTGAACACATTCAAGAGGCCAATTATCTGTGGTAGAAGCAGGGAATTTGGAAAAAGTTATAAAACATTTTGTGAAACTGAATAATTCTGAATGGCAAATTCATGGGTTAGAAAGAATTAAGGGTCCATTATACAATCACCTGGTAAATGCTCATTTGTTTACTTTCACTGACTTCATATATGGTCACTTCATTTTCTGTTGATTTAAGACAACGGAAAATGTAATTTCTCATTCAGTCAAGAGACTTTACCCTCATGGCAGACACAGAATTTGTTTCATTAGAAACAATGTCTTACATTATTTTATTTTAAAAGCTTACTGATTAAAAAAAGAAAATTCTATTCAAAATTCTACTTAAAAATGTAAACCTGAGTCCTGATACTAGGGCTTAATGATTATTTTGGGAAAAGGATTGTATTAGTATTAGAAGCAGTAGCAGCAGTAGCAGTAGTAGTAGTGGTGGTGGTGGTGGTGGTGGTAGTAGTAATAATGGTGGTGGTAGCAGCAGCAGCAGTAGCTAGCATTGATGTATTTTAAGATTTGCAAAGCTCTTTATAAATATCTCCTTTTAATCTTATAACAATCCTTGGAATTAGGAGCTACTATTACCTTCATTTTATAGAAGGAAATGAGGTAGACAGAAGTAAAGTGACTTACCCAGGGCTAATAAGTGTCACAGTTGGGATTTGAACTTAGGTCTGAGTTCAGGTCCTGAGTTCTATTCATTGTACCACCTACCTACCTAGTAAGCATCTCAGAGACCTGTCAGGAGTGAGATTTGAACCCATGCCTCCATATGGAGACCAGCAGAATCTGGGCATGGAGGAAACTCATGCTTGAGTCTGGAGCCTTACACCCCTTGGCCGTCCTAACAGTCTTGTGATGTAACTGGTTCTCTTCAAAAACCAAAGGACAAATAACAACAACTCATCTCAGAACCCTAACTGATGAGAAAACTCCTGCCAACAAAGGATAGTACCTCTATGCAAGTTAAAGTCTTAGAGAGTTGCCTCCTGTACTGAAAGGTTCAGTGACTTCCCTTGGGTAAGACAGCTGCTATGTATCCATGTTCAAGGGAGCACTTGAGGTCTGGTCTTTCTGAAGTGAAGTCAATCCTCTAGCCACAATGCCATGATGACTATGAGGTCTACCAGAGGTCTACTTAATCGATTATGAATGTGAATACTTAAGTACTCATTCAAGTGTTACTGGAAAAAGAAAGACTCTGGGAATATGGGTTTGAATCCTAGCTCTGGTACTATGTAACTAGAAAAATCATAATCATCTTTGCTTCTGTTTTCTCAACTGTAATATGAGTGGGCTAGACTAGATGATTAGGCCCCTTTCAATTTTAAATACAATGGAACTCTAACAAGTGATCCAATTTTTTATGCATGTTATCATTGTCTTCAACTTCAACTAGAAGCCATAGTAAATACAGACTACCAAGCTGTATGTACAAAAGGACTTGAATAAAAGGACTTCTGGACCTATTCTTAGCTGACCCTCCACAGTGATCTTCAATGTTAGCATACACAAAAATTTCAATAGTGCAAAAGCAAAAGAAGCCAAAGGCAAGACAGATGAGAGCTTCTACCTCCATGCAGAGGCTCGAAAATGTTTCTTTGATTCATGGCTACTGCTTGGAAAGGGAAGAAAAAGATATTTAGAAAGACTATAGATCAATCAAGCAATAATAGCTTATGTCTTAGCAGAGAGGAAGAACAGTGAGAAAGGCTGAAGAAAAGGGGATGTTCATTCATCTTCACAAAATGTTCAAGACCAAAGGACAACCAACATGACACTTGAGGTACTAACACCTGAGAGAACCAGGCTCTGTCATCTCCTGGAGCCTGCTGCAAGACTTGGTTCAAAGAGGGTTTCAAGTGTATGAATGCACAGCAGTACCTTTATGACTGGGTGACTTCAAGAGAACGCCGAGTGAAGTAAGCAGGACCAGGAAAACAACAGCCAAAGAACTCTGATGATGATTACACTTGGCCCCAGGGAAGACATGAGAAAAGAGACAGCACCTTTTCTTTGAGAGGTGGAGGGTGGGGTGGGGGGACTATGAGTACAAAATATTGCACATGCTGTCAGACATGGCCATGGTGTCAGATGGTTTTCATAGTGACTTTTTTGTTATGGGGAAGGCTCACTGAATGGGTAAACAGGATGGTATACATTGAAATAATTTTAATTTTAAAACAAAAGGTATCAATAAAGCATTAATTTAGAAAGAAAATTAATGAAATGCCAATTAGGAAACAAACTGATGATTTACTAAGGGATACATTTTCAGCTCTCTGACAAGAAAGTAGATATAGTATTTTCTGGCACCTTTTTAGAAAAATTTTCAGGGTCCAGATGATGATATCACATTTAAGTAAATTCTAAATTCCAAAGAATATTGATTAAAGGGAAGTGTATACACACTTCTTTTTAGCGATGACTAAAAATATGAGGTCTCTTAAAATTAAGAAACCAGAAGTTGTAGAAATGCCAATTACTGGTAAGGACAGGGGCTGCTCCCTGTTTCTCAAACTAAAAACTGCCCTTACCAAGAAACATTTTATTTGGAATCTGGAATCTCGTTTGGACTGCCTCTATGTACTTGTTTACCTCAGTATTTGTGTCTACCTGCAAATTCTTTCCCTCTTTGATTTTACTAGCTGGATCACTGAATTAATAACCCAGTTCTTCCTCTCTTGTGCTTCTATCTTGTTCTTCATGTTTGTCTTGCACCAATGCTTTCATCATCCCCATTACCCTAAAATTAATCAACCAACAAGCATTTATTAAGCCAGACACCATGCTAAGTGCTGGGGATAACAAAGACAAGAGTGAAATAGTACCTATCATCATTTTCATGGGGGAGACATTTTGTACATCTATAAGACTATATATAAAATACAAGGCAGTTTTGTGAGAGAAGGCACTAGTAATGAAGCATCAACTATGAGGAAGAGAAAGTAATCCATTATGGTTAGACTACAAAGTATATGAAGAGAAGTAATGATTTGAAAGGCAGGAAGGAGTCAGATTGTAAAGAACTTTAAATTCCAAATAGGAATTTATATTTTATACTAGAAGGGATAGGGAGCCACTTGTTTATTCGAGCAGGGAGAGAGATCAGGGAGAATGACACGGTTAGCCTTAACTTTGGCAGCTGTGTGGAAGATGGATTGGAGTGGGGAGCCATTTGAAACAGGAAGACCAAAGAGTAAGTTATTGCTAGAGTCCAGGTAAGAGATGGTGGCTATGTGAGTAGAAAGGAGGGAAGGGAAAGATATTGTGAAGACAGCAAAGATAAAATCTACTTTTGAGGTAATAATCATAGCTAGCATACGCATACACACACACACACACACACACACACACACACACACACATACATACACATATATATGTAATGCTTTAAAGTTTGCAAAATGCTTTACATATTTTATCTTGCTTTATCTAAGCACTTAGAAGTACTAAGGCTGTGGGGGCTGAGCTAAGATGGCTGAGTAAAAGGAAAGAACTACTGCCAGGTACCTGCAACACAATCCTTCCATTAAGATTTAGAAAACGCACCAGATGGAGTCCTGGTCAGGATTCCAAGATAAAAATCACTATGAGATCCATTTTCAGCGCACGCAATACAGGGAGTCCATGGGCATACCTCATAGGACCATTTCAGTACATAATAACTAAAAAAATGACCAAGGCCATATAGCAGGGCAAGAAGAAGTCCTAGACTATACATGGGGAACTCCAATCTTGTGAAAGATGCAGGAAGAGGTGCTCTGTTACTCACTAGACAGTTCCAGGTCCTACATCCAGGGTAGACTAAGAACTGGACCTGTACCTCAGAATAGCTTTTAAGGGAAAGGAGGGGCTGCAATTGTCCTGAGTTAGAAGCAAGTTCAGAAGACAGCAGCAGCTATGCGGTTCAGATACCAGGAGCAGAATGGGTTCTCAGCTCCAGCTTTCAGCCCTGATTAAAACCTTCAGGAGAAAAACCAAGGCTGGAATCTCAGACCGAACAGAAGTCTACTGTTACATCACACCGAACCAGCAAAGCTTTCTAGCAGGCTGATAGTGACTGAACATCAGTCTACTTTAATTTCCAAATGGGGAAATCTGACAGGAGTTTTATGCAGATCCAAATTGAGGAAAGAAAACTTGAAGAGCTCAGAACAGAAGGGCAAAGATCATACTTTGCCCTGGATCAGAACACTTTGAGAGCTCTGAGAGCCTGCAGATCTCCAGCCTGAGCAATTCCTGAGATCATGAAATAAATCTACACTTTATACCCCCAAGAAAGTAACAAAGACCTAAAAGAACAAGGCTCAACCCAGATATCTTCCCCAGAAGTTTACAGAGCTAAGCCTTAACAAAGTCTAAAGTTAGGAAGTAGGCTGGAAAAATGGGTTAACAAGCATTTCCAATAAGATCGGGGGTGAAACAAGGATGTCCATTATCACCACTGTTATTCAATATTGTACTGGAAACGTTAGCTTTAGCAATAAGAGAAGAAAAAGAAATTGAAGGCATTAGAACAGGCAAAGAAGAAATAAAGCTATCACTCTTTGCAGATGACATGATGATATACTTAGAGAATCCTAGAGAATCAAGTAAAAAACTACTTGAAATAATAAACAACTTTAGCAGAGTTGCAGGCTATAAAATAAACCCACATAAATCATCAGCATTTCTATATATTACCAACAAAGCCCAACAGCAAGAGATAGAAAGAGAAATCCCATTTAAACTTACTGTAGACATTATAAAATATTTAGGAGTCTACCTCCCGAAACAAACCCAGGAACTCTATGAACACAATTACAAAACACTTTTCACACAAATAAAATCAGATCTAAATAATTGGAAAAACATCAGTTGCTCATGAGTAGGCCGAGCTAATATAATAAAAATGACAATCCTACCTAAGCTAATTTACTTATTCAGTGCCATACCAATCAAACTACCAAAAAATTATTTTATAGAGTTAGAAAAAATAATAACAAATTCATTTGGAAAACAAAAGGCCCAGAATATCAAAGGAACTAATGAAAAGAAATGCAGGGGAAGGTGGCCTAGCAATTCCAGATCTTAAATTGTATTATAAAGCAGCAGTCATCAAAACTGCTTGGTACTGGCTAAGAAATAGGGAGGTGGATCAGTGGAATAGGTTAAATATGCAAGACACAGTAGTCAATGACTATAGTAATCTATTATTTGATAAACAAAGACCCCAGCTTCTGGGATAAGAACCCACTCTTTGAAAAAAACTGCTGGGAAAACTGGAAAAGAGTATGGCAGAAACTAGGCATAGACCCAAATCTCACACCATATACCAAAATAAAGTCAAAATGGGTTCAGGACTTAGATATAAAGGCTGATACCATAAGTAAACTGGGAGAACAAGGAATAGTTTACCTATCAGATCTATGGAGAACAGAAGAATTCATGACCAAACAGGAGATAGAGAACATTATGAAAAGCAAAATGGATAATTTTGATTACATTAAATTGAAAAGTTTTTGCACAAACAAAGCCAATGCAACTAAGATTAGAAGGAAGGTAGAAAATTGGGAAAGAATTTTTACAACCAGTCTTCTGATAAAGGCCTCATTTCTAAAATATATAGAGAATTAAGACAAATTTATAAGAACACAAGCCATTCCCCAATTGATAAATGGTCAAAGGATATGAACAGGTATTTCTCAGATGAAGAAATTAAAGCCATCTATAGTCATATGAAAAAATGCTCTAAATCATTATTGATTAGAGAAATGCAAATCAAAACAACTCTGAGGTACCACATCACACCTATCAGATTGGCCAACATGACAAAACAGGAAAATGATAAATGTTGGAGAAGATGTGGGAAAATTGGAACACTAATACATTGTTGGTGGAGTTGTGAAATGATCCAACCATTTTGGAGAACAATTTGGAACTATGCCCAAAGGGCTACAAAAATGTGCATACCCTTTGATCCAGCAATAGCACTTCTAGGGCTATATCCCAAAGAGATCAAACAAATGGGAAAAGGACCCACATGTACAAAAATATTCATAGCAGCTCTTTTTGTGGTGGCAAAGAATTGGAAATTGAGAGGATGCCCATCAATTGGGGAATGGCTGAGCAAGTTGTGGTATATGAATGTAATGGAATACTATTGTTCTATAAGAAATGATGAACAGGCTGACTTCAGAAAAACCTGGGAAGACTTATATGGTCTGATGCTGAGTGAAGTGAGCAGAACCAAGAGGACTTTGTATACAATAGCAGCCACGTTATGCAATGACTAAGAAATGTTAAACTGAACCCTTCTCAGCATTACGAGGATCTAAGACATCTCCAGAGGCCTCGGGATGGAAAATGCTGTCCACATCCAAAGAAAGAACTATGTAAGTCGAATCGCTCTCACTTATTTTTACCTTCAGTTGAGTTTTGTTTCCTCTTTCTGATGGTTCCTCCTGTTGGTTTTAATTTTTACTTACAACTTCACTAATGTGAAAATATGTTTAATGGGCATGTAAATGTAAAGCCTATGTCAGATTGTGTGCTGTCTTGGGGAGAACGGAGGGGGGAGAAAAAGGGAGAAAAAATTTTCAACTCAAAAGCATATGGAAAAAAAAATTAAAAAAAAAAAAAGAAAAATGGGTTAACAAAAAAGAATCCCTGGGGCAGCTAGGTGGCGAGTGGATAGAGCACCAGCCTTGGAGTCAAGAGGACCTGAGTTTGAATCTGGCCTCAGACACATAACATTTACTAGCTGTGTGACCCTAGGCAAGTCACTAACTCCATTGCCTAGCCAAAAAAAAAAAAAAGAATCCCATCAGATCCCATTATGATGACAGGGCAGTTAAGATAGAAACCCAGAAGAAAATGAGCAAATTACAAGCAAATTATGTCTCAAAGAAAAACAGTTTGGGCACAAGTTCAACTAGAATTCCTGGAAAAGATAGAGCAAGAATTTAAATAAAGAATTTAAATGATTTAAAAATCAAATGAAGAGTGCTATTGGAAAAAGTGGGAAAAGAAATGAGAGCTATGAAATTAGATTAAGAAAGAGAATTTAACAGCTTGGAATAAGAGGTACAAAATTTTATGTGTGTGGGAAGGGGGATTACCTGAAAATTAGAATAGACAAAACAGAAGGCAATGAAATAAATGTAATGTATCTCATAACAAAAGTAACACATTCAGAAAACAGACAACTTAAGAATTTTTGGACTACCTGAATGCCATGGCCAAAATAAGAATCCAGACATAATATTTCAAGAAATCTTAAAAGAAAACTGCCTGAAGAACCAGAGGGTAAAGTACAAACAGAAAGAATTCACTGGTCACCTCCTAAACATGCCCAGTTGAAAACTATCAGGAACATAATAGCCACAAAATAAAAAGGCGGATTTTTGCTGATTGGATTTAATTTTTTAAATGACTACCTTAATTTATTAAGAAGCAAACTGCAATATTTGGCTGTAATTATTACTTGTCAGTATTACATATTACAAAGAATGAAAGACTGAGCGATCAAGAAACTTGAACAACTATTAAGTGAGAGGATAAAGAGAAAAATTGATAACCAGAACAATTTCAAGCTAAATGTGCCCTAATACTTGTTTTCTGTGCCAGTAAATCTAAGCAAACTCTTCTCATTTATATTATTATCTTTTAAAGTGTTTACATATCTTCTCTTTCTAAAACCTTTGAGCTCCTTGAGGGTAAGGCTACGCTTTTTATCTTTGAATTTCCTTCAGTTTTCAGCATAGGGCTTTGACACATAGCAAGAGTGCTCAAGAAATGTTTGCTGAATTGAACCAAAAAACACAAAAAATCAGGTACAAAAATGTGATTCCAATGCTATTTTGCAGCATGATGTAGAAAAAAGGAGGCAGGATTTATAGTTAGAAGACCTGGGTTCAAATTTGAGTTCAGAGAGTTATTAGCTCCAACTACTGCCTAATTTTAAAAGTCAAATCTCTCTCTCCTTGGTTCAGTGTATTTTGCAACCAAAACCAGATTAATTTTCCTAAGACACTGCTTTCATCATATTATTAGATTATCCAAAGTCACTCAATGACTTCTCACTATCTACAAGATGAGATCCTGAGTTTTTTATCTTGTATGCAAGGCCCTCCACAATCAGACTCCTGCATACTTACCATTCCCATTATTCCTGTACATGAACCCACTGCTTTGACCAAACTGATATACTTACTGTGTGATCGGGATTGACATCAAACCTACCCACTTCCTGTCCTACAATACTTACAATAAGTATTTTTATAAAATGCTTAGAATTTGGTATGTTTTTACTGAGGAACAGTGAGGGATAAAACACTATGGGCTTTCAGAAATTTGAGGACAGGGACTACTTTTTATTTATTTATCACCTCTCTTTGTATCCTCAGCACTTAGCACAGGGCCTAGAACACTGGAGGTATTAAAAAAATGCTTACTGACTGGAATTGACTTCCAGATAGAAGGGAGCCCAGAAAAGTTATGTGAGAAGTAGTGACTTTTCATGGTAGATACTCAATGAATATTTATTTAAAATGAAAATTTATTGGAAGGCTATATAAACTAATTCTCAAAAGATACTTTACAAAACTTAACTGAGGAGGGTTAACACTGTAAATTATAGGTTTAAAAAGCAGAAACAACATCACATATTGTCATGAACTTCATTATGATCTGACCTTTATTTAAAAATGAAATCTTTCACTTACATTTTTGTGATTAACACATTTCATAAGAACAAGCTCTCTATAAGCACGCTTGGCATGAGTCTGATTCTGAAATGGTCGGCTAAGCTTCTTGATTGCAACGTTTCTTTCAAGAATGGCATCATAAGCTGCGCTGTAATTATTAAAAACAAAACAAGCAAATTTTAGGAAAAGAAAACTTACAAGTCCACAGACATGAATACATATCAATCTTTTTTAGCTAAAAAATAATCATAAGCTTATAACTTTCCTGGTATGTGTTATATAGATGTGTTCCTCTCCTTCCTGTCAATCCCCGCCCTCCCCCCAAATAAAACAAAACAATCTTACAGTTTATAAGAAAGACCCTTGGAAAATATCTGAGAGTTAAGCTAAACACTTTCTGCAAGTTATTTTTAACTAAAACTTTGCCTGCCAGATAAATGGAGGAATTTTCCTTAAATTACAAAGTACAAAGAAGTACTAGCATTATTTGGATGTACCCCACAAAAAAAAATTCTTTCAGTTTTGAAAATGCTAAAATTTAAGTACAAACAGATTAACTGACTCGTCTAAAATATCTTAGACAAAGATATTAAGGTCTATGCCTGTGAAATCCTATAGCATATATTGTCTTTATCATTATTTTACTCGAGTATGATTTAGAAATTAATTTTCAAATGCCAAAATCTGAGATCTTTTATTATGAAGTTTTACATACCCATTTTAGGAGGGAGGGAGGGAGGGAGGGAAGGAGGGAGGGTGAGAGAGAGAGCGAGAGCGAGAGAGCGAGAGAGAGAGAGAGAGAGAGAGAGAGAGAGAGAGAGAGAGAGATTTTTTTTTTTTTACTATAATCCAGGAGGCAATAAGGTATGAACTTGGAAGCAAAAGACCTGGGTTTGGGTTATTGCTTTGTCATTTACTAGCTCTGTAACCTTGGGTAAAATTGCTTGACCACTTGAGGCTTCAGTTTCCTTATATCCATAAAATGAGGACAGTAATCATTACAGTACCTATCTTACCAATTTGTTATCAAGAAAATACTTTGGAAATTTTAAGGATCAACAGAAATGTGACCTCGGCATGTATTTTTCATACTGGCAACTAGGTGGTACAGTGGATGGAGCACTGGGCCTGAGACACTTGTTAGTGGTGTGACCTCAGGCAAGTCACTTATTCTTTATTTGCCTCAGTTTCCTCAACTCTAAAATGGGGATAACAGTAGCATCTACCTTGCAGGATTGTTGTGAGGATTAATTGAGATATATATATAAAGCTCTTAGCAAAGTGCTTGGCATACAGCAATAATATAAATATATACTCCCTTCCCTTTCCCCTATTTCCAAAATTAATTTATTTTGAGATTAAAGTAAAACATGCTGTTTAAGTACCATTTAGTTATGAATTATAATAGAAAAAGAACCTGAACTGAGTACTGGAAGCCCTCTGTAGGAGATGGGAGTCTGCTTCTACTTGTAACTTATGTGGTCTCAAATAAATTACTCAGTTTTTCTGAGTATGTTTCCTACTCTGTAAAAGTAGTGAGGGTTTGTTTCTTCTAGCTCTAACCTCAGTTAATGCAGTATAAGACTGATAAGAATCAACTAAAATTAATTTCTTTTTGAGTGTAGAGTGGACTGCTATTTTATTACAGCAGGCTTATCTTTCAAAATAAGTTTTGCTTCATCTAATTAATATTATTTCAATAAATTAATTCTGGTACCATAAGCACAGACTGAGTAAAGGCAGTCTAATATTAAAAACTGGTTGTCATCTAAAAGTCGATTAGATAGAAAAAGCCAGTATGAAATTGAAAATACATTTAGAATGATTATTTTTCATTTACTGACTTAAAAAGACCACTTAACCATCATACACCTTTGCATACTATCATAACAAGGTATGCTTGTCTACATAATAAACATCTTTATTCTTTCACATGCGTGTAATGAGTTTGGGGCTATGCAACATGAATGACTCTCTTTTGCTCTTCTCAATGGGTTTATCTATCCGCTTTCCTTCATTTCTCCAGGCAAAGAGGATGACAGGGCACAATTTCTTGCTAAAGATAGCCTGTCAACTTGTACTCAATGCCATTTCCTCCAGTTTCTTCCAGGTCTTTACAGTTCATCAATCATACCTTCCTTCTTAGGCATTTTCACTATCTACACTGGCTTTTAAATGAATAAATAAAAAGGAAAAGTTCACTGTGCTATTTCTTCTAGTTATTATCTTCTTTCTTTCTTTCTTCTCCAGTGACAAATTTCTAGAATGAGCATCTTTACTGCCTATTGCAATCTGGTTTCTGTCCTCACCATTTTAATGAAACAGCTCTCTCTAAGGTCATTAATAATGTCATTATCATCACATCCAATGTCCTTCCTTTTCAATGTCCTTATCCTCATTTACCTTGCTGTGTAGGTATTTAATGCTATGGACTATCTACTTCTTCTTTGGCTTCCATGACACTCATTTCATGACTTTCCTCTTGCCTCTCTGTGACTACTCCTTCTCACTCTTTAAACATAAGTGCTCCTTAAGTTTCTATCCTAGACTCTAATTTCTCTCCAACATTCTCCCTTAATAATCTATTAAAACATCACCTCTATGCAGATAACTCCCCCAAACTCCGACCTAACTCTCCCCAGAGTTCCAGACCTATATTTCCAACTGTCTGAGGTCTATTTTTCACTTCGCTGACCCATCACATCAAAGTGAACAGGTCTAAGACCAAACGTAACTTTCCCTTCCAAATATACTCCTCCCCAAACTTCTCTAATCAATTACTGGAATTATCCCACAAAGTCACTCAAGCACATAACTCTGAAATAATATTTGAAACCTTCTTCTCCCTCCTACCACATATCCAATCAACTATCACGCCATGTTGGTTCCAAATCCACAATATCTCACATCCCAACTATCTTCTACACTTCTGCAACAATTCTAATTTGGGCTCTCATTTCTCCGAATTCTACTAATACAATCTACTACATCCTCTCCCCAACCCTTGGGGCAAAAAAACCCAAAAAACCATTTACTTGACACTTGGTGCCAGTCACTTCAGATCTACATAACTAATAGACTAGTAAAAGAATTTTGATATTTTGTTTAGCTCGGAATGGGCATTAATTTTTGCACCTACAAGCAAAAAGGCTAATTCCTAAATATATGCTTTTTTATATATATAGCTGGGCTTGAATTCATGGTAGCAAACTGATGATTAGGTAGAATTTTTTATTTAAAAAGATTTGCTAATGTAAGTATACAGAACTCATGAATTTGCTAACTGTTCTTTCTGGCAAAAGACACATGGTTAAGTGTAACAAACCAAAGAGTTCTAAGGATATGATAATCTTTCATGTTTAAAGATGGAATTGCTGAAGCCATAAATCACCTTGAGCTCCTTGGAGGAAAAGCATTCTTTTGGCAAAAAGTGGTAATTACAATGACCTCTTACTAATTCTTTTTCACTTGTAACATAAAAATAATAGCATATGATCAATTCCTAGACAGTAGTAGTTTACCCTACTGCAGCTTTGGATGTGTTCTCCTGAGGACATTTAAAATTCACCAAGATATGAGGAAATACAGAGGCGGTACCAGATACTGATCTTTAGTTATTTTCAAAAGCAATACTTACCACACTATTCCCTGGGCCCCTGAGCCTATAGGTTTTAAATTCTGATACCGTTTCAGTACAGTAAATGTAGAATCTCCAATCTCAACACTATAAAAATTACTGTCACGCTTGCTTCTGCTCATGATGGCAAATAATTAATTTGATGGCTTCATCCAAAATTTACTCAGAAGCTGTAAAAACAAAATAAAATGTGACATTTACAAAGTAGCAACTAACTTGTTAACTGTGTAATCTTAAGATGGACAAAGAAGCATCTAATCAATTATAGTAAGAATTTATATAAAAATGTAAAGAGATTTTTTAATGAAAATTTTAATAAGACAAAGAAAAAAAAAGCAAAGGAATATATATACTAAGCATTATTTCCCCTTCCCCCTCAACCACTTAGTGGTATTTGGTAGATTAATGATTTCTCTGCTTGGTTAAACATATTTAGCAAAGTAATTTCTTTATTCTGGAACTTATAAATGCATTCCCCTAGATTTAACATTTAAACTCAACATTAAAAAATATAAAAGTATTTAAGCTAAACACTAAAAAGTCATATTCTAAAGTCTTAAGTATCTGTGATTTTGTTGGTGAGAGGTATTCTCTTCATTGATAAAAATGATACTCTACGTTAACAGAACCAAAATAATTCATCACCTGGCAGCCAACCTAATGATAAGTCTCTCTGAATTTAGCTGGGCTGCTCTTTAAGTGACAGATACAGGCTATTGCTGGGTTTGTATTAAAAGCCTTTCTAAGAGCTTGATAGACCTCATGAGGACTTAAAGATGAAAAAAATGCAGTGATTTTATAGTTTACCTAGAGCATTAAAACTAGTTTAATTTACTGAAAAAAATTAAGTGCCTACTACTTGCAAAGAAGTATGCTAGGTACCTCAGACACAAAGACAAATGAAATTACCTCTGTCTTAAAAAATTTATATTTTACTGTTAGAATAATAGCCAGTACAATATTAATTATATGCAAATTAAGAAAGAAATCTGAAGATAGAGAAAGCAAGTCCAGATGTTCTGGAAAGCAAATTGGCACTGACCAAAGAGTTACTAAAGGGTGTGTACCCCTTTGACCTGCCTATATCATTAATGGAATGTTACACTCCAATGAGATCAAGAAAAAATGAAGGGTTACCAAACGTAGAAAAATATTTTTAGCAGCTGTGTTTTTTATATGAGACCCAACCCGGAAATTAAGGAGGCATGAAGTGACTGGAGAATGGCTGAACAAATTGTGGTATGTGAATTTAATGGACTATAATTATGCCATAAGAAATAATAAAATGGAATCTTTCAGAGGAAACTGGGAAGACTGCTATGATTTGATATGGTAAAGTGAGAAGTACCAGGAAAACAATTTACACAAAGGACATTACAACAAACAAACAAAACTTTCAAAGACTTAAGAACTCTGATTAATGCAAGAAGAATCAGACTGCCAACATCCTTCCACAGAAGTGATGAATATGAATACAGAATGAAACATGCATAATCACACATGGACAATTTGGGAACTTGTTTTTGCTGGTCTATGTGTATTGTGAGGGCTGTTTGTTGTTCTACTAGAGGCACAGTAGGAAGAAGAAATAAATGCCAGTAAATAATTTTTAAAATAAAATTTTGTTGATATAATTCCCTTTTCACCAAAATTTTCCCGAGTATCTGCCCTCTTCAACCCTCCCCAGAAAACCATCTCACATACCAAATAATTTTTTTTAAAGAGACAAAAGAAAAATAAGGAAAAAAGTCAGCAGAATCAATACATTTTAACAAGTCTAATTACACCTGTGGACCTCCCACCTTTGCAAAGGAAGGGGTGAAATGGAAATGTCTTCTGATGATTCTTTGGAGCCACGCTTGTTCCTTGTAATTCTGCAACATTCACTTTTTACTGTTTTCTGGCTGTTCTGTTTACATTGTAGTCCCTGCATATATTCTTTTCTTGGCTCTGCTTACTTCATTCTTTTATCAATTCACGTAGATATTTCCAAGCTTTTCTACAGAGAAGATCATTTCTTACAGCACAATTATATTCTATTACACTCATGTTTTGTAATTGTTAAGCCATTTTTCTCAGTTGATGGGCATCTACCTTGTTTCCAATTCTTTGCTATCATAAAAAGTACTACTATAAAGTACTTCGGTATATATAAAGACTTTTCTTATCAATGGTCTCCTTGGGATATAAGCCTAGTAAGGGCTCTGGGTCAAAGTGTATAAACATTTTAGTTACTTTTATTTGAATAGCATCCACTTTCCACAGTGGTTTCACTGATTTACAGCTCCACAAACAATGCATTAGCGTGCTTAATTTTCACACAACCTTTAAATACTGACAATTCAAGTTTGCCAATTTAGGTGATATAAGGTTTTACCCTCAGGGTTGTTTTGATTTGCATCTGTTATCAGTGATTTGGAGCATTCCTTCACCTGGTTAATAGCTTTTAACTCTTCTTCTGAGAACTGTTTGTCCATATCCTTTGACCATTTATCTATTGGTGACAGATACAGGCACCAAATTCCTTTCAGAAAAATCTGATAAAAAGTCTTTTTCCTGCATACATTGCTTTTCTTCTTGTCTTAATCCATACTGTCTCTTCTAACAGACTGTTCCCTCTATTATCTTCACTTTCCCAATTATCTTCAATCTCTCCTTGTCTAGTGGCTGCTTCCCAACTGCCTATAACATACTCATGTCTAGCCCACCCACAAATAAGCCCCTTATCTGACCCTTCTATATGCGCCATTATTTCACATCTTCTGCCTTTTGTGGCTAAATTCCTTGAGAAGACCATCTAAAATAGGTGTGTCTACTTCTCTCATCTTCTACAATCTGAACTGCAAATTCATCATTCAATCAAAACTGCTCAACTTACCAAGGATCTCGTAATGGCCAAATACAATAACCTTTTCTCAAGCCTCATTCTTCTTCTCCTCTCTGCAGCCTTTGACACAGCTGATCACCCTCTTCTCTATAACTTTTTTGGGACAGTATTTTCTTCTATTTCTCCTCCTACTTATCTGATCATTCTTTTTCAGTCTTCTTCACTGGATCTTCACCTAGGTCATGCCCACTAACCACGCATGCCCTACAGGGCTCTGTCCTATCTTCTCTTCTCCCTTTATATTATTACCAGCTTCTTCTATGAGTTTAATTATCACTTCTATGCTAACAATTCTCAAATCTACCTGTCTTGCCCTAACTTCTCTGCTGATCTCTAATCTCACATTTCCAACTGCCTATCAGTTATCTCCAACTGGATATCTTGTAGATATCTTAAAGTTAAGGTATCCAAAACGGAACTCATCTTTCCCCCTACTTGTCCTATCCACCTTTCAAACTTCTCTATTACTACTGAGGACACAATCATCCTTTCAGTCCTCCAGGTTCTATCAGGTGTCAATCTTGATTCCTCACTCTCATTCCCCATAACCAATCTGTTGCCAAGGCCCATCGATTTCACCTTAGTAACATCTCTTGTATATACTCCCGTCTCTCCTCTGAAACCACCACCACTCTAGTACAGGCCTTCATCACCCCATGCCTAGACTACTGCAATTGCCTGCCAGTGGATATGCATTCCACAAGTCTCTCCCTACTCCAATTCATCATTCATTCAGCTACTAAAATGATTTTTACTAAAACTTAGGTCTGATCAAGTCACCTCCCTATTCAACAAATCCAGTGGCTCCCTATCACTTCCAGGATCAAACACAAAATGTTCTTTTTGGCATTTAAAACCCTTCATAACCTAGCCCTCTCCTACCTTTCTGGTCTTAAACCTTATTCCTTGACACATACCGTTTGATCCAGTGACACTAGCATCCTGGATGTCCCATCAACAAGACACTGAATCTGCTCTGGACTGTCCTCTGTACCTGGAATGCTCTCCCTGTTCAACTCTACTTAATGATTTCCCTGGCTTCCTTTAAGTCCCAGCTTTTTTTTTTGACCACCACCTCCCTCTTCTTTCCTTTTTTCCTTACTACTACTTCACTCCCTTCTATCTACTCTCTCCCTTTTCTTTCCCCTCCTACTTCCTATAGGGTAAGTTAGATTTCTATACCTGAGTATATTATTCCCTCTTTGAGCCAAATCTGATGAGTAAGGTTCAAACAATGCTCATCTCCCTCCCTTCTTTCCTTCTACTGTAATAGGTCTTTGTGCCTTGTCATGTGATGTAATTTACCCTTTTCTGCCTCTTCCTTTCCTCTTCTCTCAGTACGATCTCTTTTTACCACTTAATTAGACTTTTTATTATCACATCAAATTCAACTGATACCCACACCCTCTGTCTATGTATACTCCTTCTAAATGTTGTAATAAAGATACAGTTCTCAAGAGTTATCATCTTCTCTTGTAGGGATGTAAACAGTTTGCCCTTATTGAATAACATGTTCTTGGTTTTTTTTCTTTCTTGTTTACCTTTTTATGCCTCTTTTGAATCTTGTATTTGAAGATCAAATTTTCTGTTGAGCTCTGGTCTTTTCATCAGGAAGGTTTGGAAGTCCCCTATTTCATTGAATGTCCATCTCCTCCCTTGAAAGATTATGCTCAATTTTGTTGGGTAGTTGGTTCTTGGTTGTAATCCAAGCTCCTTCTGCCTTACGGAATATCATATTCCAAGGTTTCTGGTTTTTTTAATGTAGAAGCTGCAAGGTCTTACATAATCCCGACTGTGTTTCCATATTTAAATTGTTTCCTTCTGGCTGCTTGCAGTATTTTCTCCTTGACCTGACAATTCTGGAATTTGGCTTCAATATTTCTTGGCGTTTTCAATTTGGAACCTCTTTCAGGGGGTGCTTGGTAGATTTTTTCAATGCACCTCAGGGCAGTTTTCCTTGATGATTTCTTGAAGATGTTGTCCAAGATCTTTTTACTTTTTTTATTGTGGGTTTCAGGTAGACCAATAATTCTTAAATTACCTCTCCTGGATCTATTTTCCAGATTAGTTGCCTTTCCAACGAAGTATTTTACATTTTCTTCTATTTTTTTTTCCATTTTTTTTGGATATGTTTCACTGATTCTTGATGTCTCATAAAGTCATTAGCTTCCACTTGCCCAGTTCTAATTTTTAACAAATTGTTTTCTTCAATTAGCTTTTGTACCTCCTTTTCCATTTGGCCCATTTTACTTTTTAAAGGAGTTCTTCTCTTCAGTGAGTTTT